CTGTGTGACTGGGGCCCAGGGAAGCCCCCAAACTGCGCTCTGTGCTGAGGGGCAGTGGGGTTGGTGTGGGCAGGGGGTTTGGTGTGGTGAAGGTGTGGGGAGGGACGGGGGCTCTGGCTCTCCCAGCTCTCAGCAGGCGTCAGGGGTATGGTGCCAGCCTCCATGGGGCTGCATGAGCAGAGCCCCCTCCTTGCAGGTGCCATCATGATGGAGAAGCCCAACGTGCGGTGGAGTGACGTGGCCGGCCTGGAGGGAGCCAAGGAAGCCCTGAAGGAAGCTGTGATCCTGCCCATCAAGTTCCCACACTTGTTCACCGGTGAGGGTCAAGGCAGCGCCACGGCTGACGCTTGCCCGTGGAGAAGGTGCCGTGGGGTGGTGCTGGGACGTGACCCAAGCTCTGGGGACGCGTGGGCCCACAGGGACCCGGCAGGGAAGGGACAGCCGTGACGCTGGCCTCTGTTGCAGGGAAGCGCACGCCCTGGCGAGGGATCCTGCTCTTCGGGCCCCCCGGCACTGGCAAGTCCTACTTGGCCAAGGCTGTGGCCACCGAGGCCAACAACTCCACCTTCTTCTCCGTGTCCTCCTCGGACCTGATGTCGAAGTGGCTGGGAGAGAGCGAGAAGTAAGCTGGCATCAGGGCTGTGTGGCTGCTGCAGGCTGGCTCCTGCCCTCCCTGCTGCTGGGCTGGCAGTGCCGGAGCTCTGGCTGGGACAGGGGAGCCACCGGCATCAGTGAACCCCACCACTGAAGCTGGGGGGTCCTGGGGGGAGTGCATGGTCCTGCCTGAGGCTCCGCAGCATGCGGGGTTGCTGGGGCAGGCAGGGCAGGAGGAGCTGGCAGCACATGGGGCTCCGCACCCCGGAGCTGTCATGGGCTGTGGGTGGTGTCGGTGCGATGGAGGGTCCCTGAGTGGGGACCCCTGTCCCCTGCTCCCCTCCCCAGGCTGGTGAAGAACCTCTTTGAGCTGGCGAGGCAGCACAAGCCCTCCATCATCTTCATCGACGAGGTGGACTCGCTGTGCGGCTCCCGCAATGAGAACGAGAGCGAGGCGGCCCGGCGCATCAAGACAGAGTTCCTGGTGCAGATGCAGGGTGCGTCCCAGGGCGAGGTGGGGGGGTGGAGGGGG